CACATAAATTGGAAACTAATTGAAAAATCATGAGCTTGATCAAAAGTGAAGGAAAAAAGCGTTTTCTGCTGACAATTTCATATATGAAAAAGAGTTGCATAGACACAAAAACCATTAGTAACAAATTACTTAGACTGAACATCGCACCCGAGTTCTTGAACTGGAGCAAAACTGAATTGAAGCCAGAGGATTCCGACGAACAGAGGCTCTCCTGTGTCTGTCTCTCAGACATATTTACCTTCGCTATGAATTTTTATGGAATATTTCTCATACAAGAACTTTCAATAAAGAGAAATAAAGAAAAAGTTAACTATGTTTCGGATATTTTTTACTATCAATGAAGCAGTTGTATTGAATGGAATCATCCTTTACTTTAGATTATTGTTTAGCTTGACTGGACTTATTTTCTCATAAACGTAATTTGATTCGTTTTTGTCTCTGGTTCTTATATGTGTACGATTAATTAAGTACATTTTATGGGCTAACCTGAATGTACGTACTTGTTTTATTTCTCTTCAAGGTCGATCAACAAAGACTATACAAAATTATTTCAGAAATATTCAAAGGATACAAATGCATTTTACATATACTGAATTCGACCGATACTACTATGTGAATAGGTAAGTAAACACTCGACAATGTTGGCATGGTTGGCATTTAAGCAGATAACCAGTGAAAGGTGTGCATCTTGTTTATATGTACAGAATCGAAAATGTACTGTACTTTGGCCGACAGCAAATTTTTTTGACATTTTTTTTCAATCAAATGTTTTTTTTCTTTCTTCTGCATGCACATATAAAGGAATGGATGCAAACGTCTAAAAACAGACATTGTTTCTTGCTTTCAAATAAACTTGTTTATTGAAAAAATGACCGGCTACGGAACTCAAAATGGTGATGTTTTAACTCGAGATGCATATGAACGCTTCCAACAGCTTGAAAGTTTGATAAAGACATATGCCTCAAACGCAGCTACTGCCAAGAAAAAGTTCAATCCAACACCACTCGGTTTGTGTGCATTTTCTTTGACAACATTTGTTTTGTCGATGTTCAATGCTGGTGCAACTATTCCTGTCACATATTCACATGGAGCTGTCATGGGTTGTGCTCTATTCTATGGTGGTTTGATTCAATTCATAGCAGGTCTACTCGAATATAAAATTGGCAATGATATTGGTGCGCTCGCTTTTTGTTCTTACGGTGGGTTTTGGATGGGACTGGCGTCACTCAGTATTAGTGCTTTTGGCTTTCTTGACAAGACGGACACGGTTTCACTTAATAATTCTTTAGGAGTACTTTTTCTTGCATGGGCAATATTTTCTGGATCCATGACGATTGCAACTCTCAGAACTCATCTTGTTCTGGTCGTACTCTTATTTACCGTTATGGTCACTTTTATATTATTATCGGCTAGCAAATTCATGAATGCTGACGCAAATCTACAACGTGCGGGTGGTGCTGTTGGTATTTTGGCGGCAGCCATTGCGTGGTATGCTGCATTCGCCAGTCTTCTGAAACGAGGTGAAAATTCTTATTTCGAACTGCCTGTGTATAGTCTGGCACCAAAATCAATACCGGTCGTCGAGGCAAAGGTCATGAATAACACGCCGGTGTGAAAACACTATAGAATCTGATTACTGCACTGCATAAAGTACTGTGCCGGTTTAAAGTTTTATGATTTCGTTTATTTTGCTTTCTTTATATTCTTATATAATATAATATATAATAAAAACTTCCACAGTACGTACTCTCGCAGCAATGTGTGTGTGCGGGTATGTGTGGAGAAAGAGATAGCGAGGAAGGAATGAAGAATGAAAACACTGTTTGCATTCTACAACATCAACGTACTTTCATATTTCTCTTCGTGAGATGATGACGAAATATATGTTGACTAGAATTGGAATCTTGTATACACTTCGACTAACAACTAAATCCATATTAAAATTCCCAATTCCTGCTTCTATCGATGATAATGCTATAGCTCAAGCAGATTCTTGCTTATTTCTAATCATTTTATTTCGAATTTTTAAGATTCTATTACTAAGAATGATTCATCACCGCCTTTACGTATATTTTTCCTACCTAAGATCTTCAGCTAAACCAGAGAGAGTATCCAGAAAAATGGCTCTGGGTATCTGGAGTATGTGTGTCTATACTTTATCTTTATCCACATCCAGTCTTTGTCTCAGAGTATCAATTGCAGAGCAAAACTACTTCTCACACCAGTCATTATGTTGAGACGTTTTATATACATATCGCTCTAATTTAGGACAATGCATTGTCCCACGCACTCTTGCCTTTTCGGTTTAGATCCAAGTACTTATAGCATACAAAAAGTAGTGGCGAAGGTTCGGCAATTTCTTATAAAGAGCTTTAAGAAACGTTTTCTCTATATAGTCTGATAGAGAAAAGAATGCTCTATTTTTTTCTATGCTATTTAATCATACTTCAACTAATATTATAATAATAATAACCTACGATGCAAAAGTAATTGCTGAAATCTCCAGCCATAGTTCTCCGCTTAGGAACATCTTGGAAAATATCTTTTGTTTTTATTGAAAAGAGCAATGTCTGAACTACAAATTTTGTACCAGCCATATTTTTCTAGAACGAATCTTAGAAGGAGAAAAAGCCAAAAATCAAACACCTCTAAAAAGTTCTTGCAACTTGGTCCTTGAGCAACATCATTTTTTTAATTTCTCTTATTTCTTTTAATGTCAGGAGAGAATGAAAAAAATACTTTTCATGATGTTTTATGTAGTCTAAAGAACGCTCTTTCCAATCATATATTGGAAGACAAATTTGCTTCTAGTTTTAATATAAACCCGTTGCTTTCTCTGAAAAAGAGTGAATAATCTAGTTGTTTTTTTTACTACTTGGCTGTTTTGTAGCGGTAAAAAAAATTTTTTGAATTATTTTTTCAGTTAAATTTCTATGATCTGACATATTTTTAATGAATAATGCAAAAGAAATCGACTTCATATATCGTTTCTGGAGATGATGGCTGATATTCTTTCACAAAAGATAGTTCTTGAAAAAAACTCGTTTTTCGAAAAACTTCATTTTTCAAACCTTTTCGATTAAACAGCCAAGAATGCATCTAAAAATTTTAAACAATTTTGAAACCAGTAGTTTTTGATGCTCTACATTTTGGTGTATATTTTGTGAAATTTTAGCTCATGTAGCCTAAAATAATCGAGAAACACATTTTTCAAGTTGTAAAATAGTTGCAAGAACTTTTTTTAGAAGTGTTGAAGTTTTGGCTTTTTCTCCTTCTCAGATTCGTTCTAGAAAAATATGGCTGGTACAAAATTTGTAGTTCAGACATTGCTCTTTTCAATAAAAAAAAAAAATAATTTTCCAAGATGTTCCTAAGCGGAGAACTATGGCTGGAGATTTCAGCAATTACTTTTGCATCGTAGGTTATTTCGATAAGATCTGCTTAGTTATCATATGTGCTAGTTGTATTAATACTTATTTCAAAAAATGCTCACGCGTATTTTTTGAATAACTTTTGAAAGAAACAAGATAGAGAACTGCAGTTTTCATCGTTAGAAAGAGGAGACGTAAATGCATCGAATCATATATTACAGGTTTTCTAATATTGATTTTTGAAGTATTTTAATTCAATTTTCTAACTGTCGGAAAAATTTTTTTTTTAATGAAAAAAGGAAAAAGTACAAAAGTGAGCTTTTCTAGCAGATTTTACTTGAAAACCGTATTAGAGGCTCGACTCGAATGCATATTATTCATCTCAGCCTTACCCATTTTATAAATCTTCGATTAGTGGTTTAAATTTATACTTGATAATTCAAAATTCACTGTAAACAACTTACGTGATAGGTTTGTTCTTAAAAAGGTCAACTGAAAACCTTACAAAAAACATATCAAGAAATTGTGGCATA